GAATACACATACATTTATCATACCTATTACTGCAAATATCTTAGATTTCTAAATTTCCCAACAAGTAAATTCATTTATTCTATAAAACCAACTATTATCTCAATACCTAAACACTAAGATACTTTTTCTATTATGTATTTACTAATAAAAAAAGGTGACAAGTTCAAAGCTATTAGTGATTCTTGTACTAAGCAGAATGACGTTCAAGAATGTTAACAATGAAAATTCATAACACTGTAAATTAAAATATTATTGGCAAATACACAATAAWTTTGTTTTTGTTCATATATGAACTTAACCGGTTAAGCATCTTATTCCATAGAATTATAAACACAAAACAAATTTTAAGATTAGGTTAATTACAAAGTTCATACTTGTCATCAGAATTGTGTTTATCATCATTGAATTTCTGTACTCCAGCAGAAAAAGAACTGGCAGATGGTTTTTCAAAATCATCAAATAAATCATCACCAAAATCATCCATTATTTGTGTAGTTGAACTAAAAATATTAAATAAAGTAATGAAAAAAACCAAGTTGAAAAACAGTATGTTTTTCTATTACAAACACTTCTGTAGTTATAATTGAACAAATTGTATAAATATTAATAAACGGTGGGATTACTGCATTTATATGATGGTGTTATAATGGTTTTAAACCCACTGGTATATAATCGATTTCATAGTTATTAAAGACAGCGTTTATTCATTAACAAGTAAAAATACAGGTATCAAGTGGATACAAAACCGTTGTAATAACATCATACACACGTATTGATAACTATTAGTGTACATGAAGTAATTTATTTAARAGTACTTACATTATAAATACTGGTACACCACAAGAGTCATAAGACTCACAAGTCACAATATAAAAATTTGTCAATAATCAAAATGAGTTCAATTAATATAAAATAAACATAGATATTTCAATACATCTCTATTTTTTATTTGCTATCGATAAATTCAAAATTCTAAATGTTATTGTTTTACATTTTAGGTTAGGAGTTAAGAACACAGCTAAAGATAATACTATCTTATAACCGAGGTTAGGACCATGATTACATTTTTTATCGTGGTTTAGACCACGTACCTATTTATATTTTATCAGGTGTCAACAAAGGGAGTTGAACAAAAATTCAACCCCAATGAAAAACACCGGGAACGCTGATTACCGAATAGTAATTTGACTAATTTGTAACATAATATATACTTGTTTATGATTTGTAAGTAACAACTAACATTCAGCCATTGACATTTGGTAATAACCGCCCTATAGACCCATAAGGTAGGTTTTAATTAGAGAAGGCAGATACATCGTATGAAATCACCCATCTTTCTCATAGCTACTGACAGTCAGTGGTAGAACCAGAAATTTTCATAGGAGTATCCTACAAAATAAACCGTTCTAATTTGTATAAGCAATAAGTATATGTTTATACTAACAATACATGCCAAATGAGGGAGCTGATATCTTTTTTACACTTAAGACATCTGTAGAATTGGCCAACCCACACACGTTTAAATATATTCACTAAAAGACCAGATTTTAAATGCATTACCTATATACTTAAATGTTGTTTTTCACTTAGAGACTTAGACATTTATTTATATAAGGTATAAAATGTAATTTGTAATAACTAATAATAAATAGGTGTTATTGAGATTGAGATACAGTGATCAAGTGTAAATTTTTATATTAAATATGTATAATTTTTTTTTTCACTTCATTACTTTTTATATGTCAAAACCACAAGCTTCAATTTACAACTATTTACTACTGTATATTTGTAAGCTCATATGCCAATAAGAAATACTACAGTGAATACTAAAAATATAATATGGTAAAAATTGTATTTTAAAAACAAA